CCCCAGCCAGCATGCTGACTGGGGAATTCTGGGAGCTGAAGTCCACCCATCTTCAAGTGGCCAAGGTTGAGAAACATTGGGCTATAGTAACAGAATCTTGCAAGTCTGATTATGTTTTTCCTCCCCTCCCTCATATACCCCACTGAGTCAAGGAGGAGCCAGCCTGAGCCTCTTCCTAATACTCCTTTCCCAGGGCTTCAGCAATGCATCTGCCCTGGTTGTTTCAATAACAGCTTCTGAATATTCCCTTCAAGGCCATCTCCATGGCTCTCTACAGTATTTCCACCTCTTCCTCAGGAACTCAAGGTGTGGGGAGGGGGTTCCCTCCATTTTATCCTCAGAACATCACCCCTATAGTGTGAACATCCACACCAGCTTCCTGCTTCGAACAAAATGATGAAAGCAGCGTTGTTCTACAAGCTCTTTGGGGCCGGACGCAATGTCCCAATGTGTACCCAAGAGGGGTGGGGTCTATGGTGCAATGCTCCTTTTGTTGTTCAGCCCCACCCAACCCTGCCTGCGGTTGCTGCTGCCTGTGAGATAGGTTGAGCTCAGAACAGGGGACGAGCCCGAAGCTGCCCGCTGCACTTCCGTGGCTGATGGCAGTCAGAACCTGGGTCTTCTCAGTCCTAGTCCCAACACCTTACCCACTGCATTAAACTGTTTTCCTGCCCAGTTGAGGATCAAAAGGGAATTGGGGCAAAGCTGGCAGAGTGTATGAGAGATTTGAATTAATTCAAATTTTACTTGCAGTTCAAAACCTTGTTTCTGAATGTTAGTAGTTGAGGTCTTTCCCAGATATGGATGCTACCTTACTTTACTCTAGTGTTTCTCAACCTTGGCGACTTTAAGAAGCGGGGGCTTCAGTGCTGGGGAATTCTGGAAACTGAAGCCCCTGCTTCTTAAAGTTGCCAAGGTTGGGAAACACTGCTTCATCCAGATGGAGGCTAATCAGTAATTATGGCATGTTAATAGATCACCTGACAGAGTCAAAAGGAGAGGTGCACATTTTAACTGTTTCCATAAGTAGATTAATTGATTAAAACTTTCAGTGGATTCATCACTGGGGGAGCAATTTTAACATCTTTGTGGCTGGGAAAGGGGAACACGTCTGGAAAAGGTTGATTGCTTTCAAGCACTGGAATTAGTATACGAGAGGCACCAGGCCGTCCACTGTTGGAAACCATATGCTGGGTTAATGGCGGGTTCCCCGAACCATGGGCATGATCTAACAGGGTTCATGTGAGATGGGTGAGCGATTAAGCCATTAATTTCTGGTAACGTGAGCTCAGCTCTGGGTGACTCGCCCTGCCTTGCTCCTCTACCCACAGCCACGGCTAACTTCAAGAACCCAACCTCCGCCCAGCAAATCCCACCATATGAAGATTTATATACCAGTTACGCCTACATGACCATGAAGTCCACCCTCTCCCAATATCCATGCAAAGGCAAAGCAGGGAACGTGCTTCGGGTCGGCAACGAATCTTCCTGCAAAAGCGATGACAGGAGGACCCACTGCAACGGCCCCCTGCCCTCGCCTGGACCTTACAGGTAAGGGGAGGGTGGCATTTGGCGCTCCATTTGGCCCTCAGAACTCCTTGGAGGGAACTCTGGCAGGCAGACAGGGCATCCACGAGGGAAGGGGTGCCAGGAAAGTCAAGATGGCAGTCACGATGCGTGTAAAAAGGGGCAGAGCTTGGATTTCATGTTTGTGGTGGCCATCTTGATTTTTTTTTACCTGCGGCCACCTCTGAAGGCAGGATATAAAATGAAGGAATATTCTACTCTCAGGGCTGGGAGCTGAAAATAGTGTTAGCTGAAGCAGTTGCAATAATAATAATAATAATAATAATAATAATAATAATAATAATATTATGAAGAAGAAGAAGAAGAAGAAGAAGAAGAAGCAGCAGCAGCAGCAGCAGCAGCAGCAGCAGCAGCAGCAGCAGCTTACATCCTGCGACAATATCTTTAATATTATTAAACAACCACATCTGTCTATCCCAGGTCCTTGGGAAAGACTCTATAGGTGGAC